TACCCCCATCTTTAATCCTATGGCTTTTATTCCTGTTTTTCTAACATCTGTGCGCGTGTGTGTTTCTCTTCGCTGTCTCCTACCCCATCCCCATTTCCTAAGGAAAGTCTTGTTCACAGCTAATGTCAAATTCCACATACTCTATGAGGCTCTCATATAATACTTTCCGATCTGAAATTCTCTCTTGCTGGAAAATTCCCAGGAGCCAGCTTTCAATGTGTTTTATGGCAATTATCAAAGTTTGTTTTGGGTTATGTATGTTTATCTTTTATCCCCAGTTACTGGTGAATTCCTTAAGGGCAGGGACAGAATGCTTTCATTTTTTAAAAAAACTTAAGACTATCATGCATTAAAGGTGGAGGGTACACAATTTTTAAAAATTTAGATGTGTTTAATAACATATGCATCTCAGGCAGTATTTTTACCATGGTCTCATACCTAGAATGTCTTTTCACCTGAAATATAGACATACGATTATTAAACATTGTTATTTAAAACACTTCTTGAACGACAATGATGTAAGCATTTGATTTCCCACTTTTGAACCCTGCCTATGTTTGAAGTAACTGTTTCCCTGTCTTACAGGTGGATGCTTTTCCGGATACTCAAAGAGCCTCAACAACTCATATCAAAATTTTAGTTGGCCCAGTTACCGATCTGATGAAAGGTGGTGGCTATATTAACAAGAAAATTTACTTTTCTCAAAACATTGTTTGTAAAGGTATGATTTATACGTATATTTATTTAAAAGGGCCGACTTTGTTCATGCTTCATTTTCTTAGAGAATTTTGATACTAGAATAACTACTATCATGTACTTGCCTACAGTTTGTGGCACTTCTGTGTTTGACGTGTGGGCCTGCAGAGTTGGAAACAAGGTGTAAAAAACAATGCTTCCAGAATTCATCCTGTGGGGTAAACAGGCGACTGAAAATAACATATATATTATCTTTTTTTTGCGTGTACATTTGCTGAATGCAGTCATTCATATATTTTTCCTTTCATATACATATTGGATTTCTAATCTAACTTAACATGGTAACACGTACACAAAGATGTTTGCTTTAGAAATATTTTAACTGCTTCAAATTAGGTGTGGAGATAGCCTTATATTTTACCATATGAGCATAGCCATTGTTGGATTCTATTTGAAATTGACAGATAAAGGTTCTTATTGATACCTAAAGTGGTCATTTGCTTAAGGTACTTGAATTTATTAAGCTACCATATGGTTTCAGTACAAAACAGATTTAACTCAGTCTCACAAGACAGCTTACCATTTTACACAGGGTTTCTTCCATGCCCTCCTTCCATTCATGGTTTTTTGTTCTGTTTTTCACCATGAGAGGTGTCATGGACTATCTGCTCTTATCAAAATTTACAGCCTCAGAACCCTATTTAGGGATGCTATGTGTCAAAATACCTATAGTTGGCAGCAGGTTAGTTTTATGATTCTAGATAGTGGTACAATTAATGGGGCACATATGCCCCAAGGGATCTCTGGTACTGGGATGGTGG